GGCCAAACGGGCAAATCTTTCCACATGTGGCAACACGCCCATATAAGGACTGTAGCTAGGAGTCGGTTAATGAGTTAATGACCACTTCTCATTCTGGCTTAGTTTGTGAATTTTCAGGACAAAAGGAAGCAACTTGATGAATGTGATTTTTGCACCTTAGTAGATAAACATATGACAATGACAGTGACATGTACAGATGACAATGCAACTTTCTTTGTTATTGTGAGAGACAGTCTTAAGTAGGAGACACTTTGAAATTCTTGTCTCGTCTTAATTTTAAACTCAGGAACTGACCTTTTCACCTCAACTGTCGTGTAACAATTTTCAAAGGCCATTCTCAATGAAACGCAGCTTTTTGGCCATTCTGTATCAGATATTGTAGCCATTTCTGTATCAGATATTGTAGCCAGTTCTGTATCGGAACCACCTGTAAATTAACCCTCTCCCTGCTGCACACCTCCCATTCCCCACTGCTGTACAGGTTACAGCAGCCCTCAGCAGGACTAGGGTTAACTGTTGGCCACATGTGGAAGAGATGCCTGCTGTACCCAGAACTGTGCGAGCATGTTTCTGGATACATAAAGCCTGCCTGTAATAACTAGTGTGTTCCCAACTGTTAAAATTATGTTTGTTTATTTGTTGCTTTATTTATTCTGCTGTAAGCGAAAACTGGCATGATTTAGTAGGAAAACATAGCAAAAGGTTTGATCATAGTTACTAAAGAAAACTGTCACAATGTTGTTTAATCTTCACCCACATCACAAGGAAATGTCAAGAGGATTGTCTGAAGTTTGAACCAAATGGTGAAAATTCAGGGGCAGAAATGAGAAAGGGCTGTTGTCTTAGCTCCTGGTGGGCCAGTGATTGTAGTAGTGCAGCAGCGCCCCCTTGCCAAAGTGGTCTGCTATGCAGCATTACCCCCTGAAACATTCATCCTGCATTACAGCCAGTATAGTGCCTAATTTCACAGTAGATTATGACTGTCCAAGGCACCTCCCTCCACTGTCAACTCTGCAGTGCCTTGAACCAATTAGTTTGCCTTTCCCCTGCATTAATGCCCTCTGTCACAGTCTTCGGTTATGGTTGACCCTTACATTAGCACCAGGCTCAAGTAAGCACAATCCTCAACCATTTAGAACATCCTGTGTCAGCAACTGACGTCCCACCGCCTCTGAGCAGGCCTGAGTGACCTAATTCAGTCTATAACCTGCCTGGCCTGAAACAGTCTGAAGTTTGTCCCCCTTTTACACAGGGTATATTTTCAGAAATTCTGTTGCAATTCCAACCTAAAAGAACATACATGAAGTTGCATTTAGGACTTCTTGTCATTATACTTCAACCACCAACACCGTACATGAACCACTATCCTCATACCAAATTTTAGGTCCTTTATTTGACCTAATATGAAGACACAGGAGCAAATAAGTTACAATAT